GGTCCAGGCAATGCTAAGTATGTCTCCTAGTTCTTATATAAAATAAGTGTCAACTAATCCCATGTACCTGTCATGTTTTTATTGCCTGGCTTTTTACAGACATCATTGTGGGGTGAGTTTTGAGGGCAGAGGCCTACCAGATCAGGTTAGGTAGTATTCTGGTAGCATAGAAGAAGGCACAGAGTTGTGTGGGTGAGAAGCTGGCAGGCAATGCTAAGTATGTCTCCTAGTTCTTATATAAAATAAGTGTCAACTAATCCCATGTACCTGTCATGTTTTTATTGCCTGGCTTTTTACAGACATCATTGTGGGGTGAGTTTTGAGGGCAGAGGCCTACCAGATCAGGTTAGGTAGTATTCTGGTAGCATAGAAGAAGGCACAGAGTTGTGTGGGTGAGAAGCTGGCAAATGGGTTCTTGAGGCCAGCATTGCTGGTGAAGGTTATGATGCAGTATGATTCAGAGCAAGAGAAGAGCAAAGAGACAAGACAGCAAGGGAGGGATAGAGCTCTGGAGGGCCTAAAAATCAGGGTAAAAAGACTGAACTCAATGTGGTAAAATAAAGGGATATTGGTAATATTTGCTCATGGCTTGGATGTTCTGGGCAAGAGAAAGGGAGGAAGGAGTCAAATCATCCTCCAGGTAATAGGACTGAGTGGTAGGCGTAATCTTCAAGTGACAGAAAACTGGTGGGGGGAAGGGATGGAGGAAGAGAGATGGAGAGGGTTTGGGAAGAAAAGTCAGGAGCAATGTTCCTTCTAATCTTTTCCATCTTTTATCCATGTTCAGAATAAATTTTATGTGCACCAAAGCATGTGTAAATGTGCATCACCGCACAAAGAAACAAACAAAACTAGCTGTGGGTGTTCTTCAGCAGTTGAATCTCCCCTGGGCATCTGGATGCACAAGTACACAATTTACAGAGAACACTGGTCAGGAGTACAGCATGACTCATTGGCTGTGTCTACACTGGCCACTTATTCTGGAAAATCAGCCGCTTTTCCGGAATAACTTGCCAGCTGTCTACACTGGCCCCTTGAATTTCCAGAAAAGCACTGACAATCTAATGTGAAATCATCAGTGCTTTTCCGGAAAAACTATGCTGCTCCCGTTCGGGCAAAAGTCCTTTTCCGGAAAACTGTTCCGGAAAAGTGCCAGTGTAGACAGCACAGATTTCTTTTCCGCAAAAAAGCCCCGATCGCGAAAATGACGAAAATGAAAGTGCTTTTCCGGAAAACCATCCTGCCAATGTAGACGCGCTTTTTCCGGAAATACTTATAACGGAAAACTGTTATACTTATAACGGAAAACTGTTCCGTTTTAAGCATTTCCGGAAAATCATGCCAGTGTAGATGTAGCCATTCTGCATTAAAAGAGACAACCAGGCAGAGATATCAGAAAAACAGGCTGAAAGGTGAGACTAGGGAGAGGAAGATAGGTCATGGTGGAGAAGTAGTTCTTGAGCCATCAGCACAGAGATGGCAGCTGAATCAGTGTGATACTATAGAGGGTATGTAAAAGGAGAAGAGGAGAGGGTAAAGGAGAGAGCCCTTTGAGAGCCTTATTTGATGGAGTGGAAGTTTCATTCCTCCCCTCCTCACTGGAAAGAGGTTGGATAGAGATCCAAGAGGCGTTTTGAAAGCCAAGAGAGAGCACAGTTTCAAGAAGTGTTGCAATACAACAACAGGTTATCTTGTAATATGTGTTTCTAGACAGGGATGTAGAGCCTAATCCAGCAAACACAGGAGTAGAACTATGGAAGTTGTAGTGAGATCGTAAGATTTAATAATGCTGTTACTATTGGATACATTTGTGTATATTTTATTTAATGTTTTCTTTGGAAGAATGGGAACAAAAATGTTGATGTTGTCAACTCTTGCAATGAAATTATGAGTTTTATAATATTTGATGGTGTTGTCCATACTTTCTCTCCTAGCTTCATGTTTTTAGGCAAGCAAAGAAAGAGTTTCTGGCCATCCTGCTGTGGAGAAAAGCCTTCTAATAAATAAATTAATTAAGTAAGTAATTCAATAAATAAACAAACTCTACCTTGTTAAGAAATGCAGAAAAATCAGCCCACTATTGAATAAAATATATATTTCCATATAGTGTTTTGAAATAACTATAAATTTAAGCAAAAAATGGACACCTCATTTTAGAAAGAAAGCTAATATTTGTCAGTTAAACACACTTGTAGGTCTGTGGACAAGATATTTGACAAGGCAAAAGTTGTATACATTGGCCAAAATTTGCAAAAATGACTAGACTTGAGATGTGATTTTTATAAAATGCTGAACATTCACTGTCTGAAGATCAGACTCCCTTAAGATGTTTCAAGTTGGGCACCGAAGGACTGAAGCACCTAAAATAGCTAGTCACTTTGGAAAATGCTGGTCATTATCCATTCTATGACTAACATGCTTTATATAGCCTGTCTATGCCAGACAATCATCTCATCTGAAATGGAGACCCAATGGAATGGATCCCACAGATGTGTTCTAAACAAATTACATCAATCTTTAGAGTGATCGCAACAGGATACTATCTACACAATGATGAAAATCCTAGGTCAGCTGAGTTGGGCCAAAGGCTGAAAAACTGCTGTGTAGCTGTTCAGTTCGCCTGGAGCCCAAGCTCCAGGACTCTGTGAAGAGGGAGGGGCCCAGAGAATGGCTACACACCAATTTTTAGTTCTACAGCCCAAGCACCATTAGCTGAATCAGCTGTTCCAGGCCAGCCAGAGCCATGGCATAGGTCTTTTACTCCTGTGTAGACATATCCAGGGTTGGAGAACCTGGGATTAAGCCAGCTGTGTTTAAAAGATGAGCTACACATGCTTAGGTTTACCAGATGGGTTTCAAAAAAATACCGGACACGCGTGATCTCAGAACAGGAGGGGATGGGGATGGGGGGGACAGAGACCGGCCAGGAGGGGAGCAGGGCTGGCAGGGGGAGATCGGGGGTGGGGAGGAAACAGCTGGCGGGAAGCAGGGCAGGCTGGGAGGGAGGCGGGAGGAGCAGGGCTGGCAGGGGGAAATCGGGGGTGGGGAGAAAACGGCTGGCGAGAAGCAGGGCAGGCTGGGAGGGAGGCGGGAGGAGCAGGGCTGGCAGGGGGAAATCGGGGGTGGGGAGAAAACGG